GAGCAGAGGCGAGACCTCGTGGCGGCCATCGGAGTGGGAGTTCTCTCGCTCGATAGCCTGATTGCGGCTATCGTGCGGAGCGAGAGTGCGTGGAACTCTGCCGTCTCCTTCTGCGAGCAAGTTATGCTCGCGAAGGAGACGGCGGAGCGGGACCGGGAGAGGTTTAGAACTCTCCCGGCCCGCCAGGCCCGGGCACGGGCCAGGCAGCGCAGGCGACTCAGGCGCCGGAGGTCGCAGAACGACCTCCGTCCTCCATAAGCGCAGGCCTGGGGGTGACAGGTGAGGCCATCTGTCACCCTAGCAGAAGCAGGCCGGGGTGGCGGCGAGAGCGTTGAGAAGCGCGCTCGCTTCCAGGGAGCACAGGGAACATGGGGTTCCCACACGGGGCGGGGGTCGTCTACTCGTCTGTAGATGACCCGAGGTATGTCGGGGCACCAGGGCCTTCCTTTCTAGGGTATACCTGGTTCCCCGGCTATTAGTACCCGGCGAAGGCGTGCGGTTTTAGTCGGTTCGAGTCCGACATGCCACCGACAGGTGGTATCCGAGGGGATTTCCGCACGGAAAAAAAAAAAAAAAAAAAAGGCACTTCACTCACCGACCCTACTACGTAAGTGAGACTAAAGCTTAATAATTTATTTATTTCTTTTAATAAGTTATTATTATTAAAATAAATAAATCATTTCCTCAAAAAACGTAATATATTTTCAACTACCTATATTTAAACCGATGCCAATGGCCACTCGATGGCATCTCAATAGCGTGTCAGTGGTATGACAGTGGCTTAGCGTGAACATATAATAGCAGAATTGAGGCCCTAGTTTGTGTAAGGGACTGCTATTCCAAAGGTCGCAGGTTCAATTCCCGTTCAATTCAAACATTTGTGTGCATAGTAGACTTGCAACGAATAGTATATTCGGCAGTATACCGAATACCGAATATTCGGCGAGGCCCCTGACCGAATAGCCGAATATTAGGCAAAAGTATTCGGCTGGATTTTAGCGCCAAAAACTTGTACAGACGTGAATTAAATTTGTACCTGTTTTATGTACCAATGACTACTTAATAAATGATTATAAAAGAAATGAGAACCTTACCCTTCTAAATTTTGATTACCACAATAATTCAAATACATAGAATCCTCCATTTTTCCAATTCAGAAGATGATTATGTACCTGTGTTATGCACCAATGACTACTTAAATGATTATAACATAAATGAAAAAATGAATATATACTAGACTTGCAACGAATAGTATATTCGGCAGTATACCGAATACCGAATATTCGGCGAGGCCCCTGACCGAATAGCCGAATATTAGGCAAAAGTATTCGGCTGGATTTTAGCGCCAAAAACTTGTACAGACGTGAATTAAATTATGTACCTGTTTTATGTACCAATGACTAATTAATAAATGATTATAAAAGAAATAAGAACCTTACCCTTCTAAATTTTGATTACCACAATAATTCAAATACATAAAATCCTCCATTTTTCCAATTCAGAAGATGATTATGTACCTGTGTTATGCACCAATGACTACTTAAATGATTATCACAGAAATGAAAATATGAATATATACGTAATCAATCGATTTTAATTTTTCATTTTACCAATTATTTCTCAATGACAAAATATATTATTTAAGTATTCGGTATTCGGCCGAATAATATGTAGATATTCGGTATTCGGCCGAATATAATAAAAGCAGCCGAATAGGCCGAATACCGAATAGTAACCGAATATTCGATGCAAGTCTAGTGCATAGACATTAAATGTTTGATTTGGTCTGGGTGTTTCTATGCATAATATGTATGTATTTACAAAAAAAAGTATATATGTATTAATATCCGTTGTCTAGTACCCATAGTACAAGCTCTGCTTAGTTTGGGACTAGATGGCGTGAATGTGGTAGAATATTATTATAATTCATTTTAAAAAAGCGCCTCTGCCTACCTCTTCGGGGATAGCGACTTATTCATTTACTGTACAACACAAGTACTATATTGAATAACCTAGGCACATGACTGAACGAGCTGCTTAACGCAAGTCGGAATAAAGAATAAATATCTGTCACTGGACTTGATGCCTGATTTCATCAACAGCCTGTAGTAGTCCACTTGCTGGGCATAGGCCTCTCCCTAGGAAGGAGGTTTTGGCCTACCATACCATGCTGACCAGACGGATCGGCTTGTTTCAAGTTTTCCTTCTATTTGCAGTGCTGTTGTCCTGCGTAGTTTGCTCTATTCGTCGACTCTTGCGACACTCCGTATTCTTAATTCGTCACCACACGATGTCTTATTCAATTATTAATAATGCAATTTAATTTAGGATTGTTTTTAAGTTTATATTAATTTAAATTAAGTCAGCAGCAATGTGTGGATTTAGAAAAGTGCGGGCAATTTACAATATAGAACTCACTTGTAATTAGTTTATGGAGATAGTACCAGCATGATTACCGAGGCTTTTCTTTTCTTACATAGCTGTTTTAAAAAAAACTTAAACTCTTAGCACATTGAACATTTCCTAACACTATACGATAAATATCATGTTTTTTATCATAGATCTAATTGAAAACAAAAGGCAGTATTTTTTATTTCTAAACTACATTCATTTTAACATAATAATCGATATTATCGCAAAAACACTAATATTACATGCAATACAACAGGTATATCGATTTAAATCGATACCTGCGTACTCCAACTCGATTGCGTCACTAATCGCTTCAGATCGGTATGCTATTGTTTCATGTGCAATAATTTAAGTTAGTGACATTGAATCAGATTTTAGACTCTACTCGTAGCAACATAGAGTATAATGTAGTTTGTGGGATAAATTCGTTCAAGGTCGATCGATCGTTTCGATTTTGTTTACATGTACTTTAATATCTTAGATGTTCCAGATGTTAGTAGTAGTGGTGTTACACTTATGATCTATTTGCAATATAACTAGTGTTGTGTGGTTCATTTATTCATGTGTTTATTAATAGTTTTTTTGGAGAGTCATACTTAGGCACAAATGGGCCAGGCTCGACCGGGGGACTCAAAAGGGCGGCGAGGTACTTTTGTTTCTCGAGTTGCAGGTGTCCTTGGGTGGTGGTAGTCACTTACCGTCAGGTTTTTTCTTTATGGAAGAAGGGGCAAACGAGCAGACGGGTCACCTGATGGAAAGCGACTACCGCTGCCATGAACGAGTTGCAGCTCAGGAGTCACAAGCGCGTTGCCGGCCTTTGAGGAAGGAAAACGTTCTTTTCTTGAAAGTTTGAAGGGCGTATCAGCTTAGAAATACCGCAGACGTTAATTACCAGTCTGTTCGTTTGCCACCCTATGACCTGCAGCGCCAGCCATAAAAAAATATGAGTTTGGTTAGATGTCTCTTTGTAAGTTTTAGGAAATTTTGGTATGTGTAATTACCAGTAGGAACAATACTATGCCAGGATAACAATTTAGATAATCTATACCACTAGAATCTTCAATCTGCAATCTTCTGTTGCTGCTGCGAAACAAGTCTCATCAAAAGCACTACCTTAAAAAAAAATCGGCATCATCATGATGTTTCCCGGTCCCCATCTATCTACCCTTTCAGCAATTTTACTAAGGGTCGGTGTAATATTAATAATTAATATTATATTAATTAATTATACTTAGGGTCGGTGTAATGTAATTTTACTGCACTTATGGCGTAGTGGTTTAAGCGGTCGCCACGCCACTTCCTATTACGCCGAGTGTTGTGGGTACAAACCCCCCATGGAACAACACTTTGTGTGATCCACAAATTGTTGTTCTGATTCTGGGTGTACTTTGTGTCCGTTTCATGTATGTTTGTAAAGTCCACCGCGACACAGGATTTATTCCTAGTGCAGGAGTTGTCTTTTAAAAAAAGAAAAAAACAAGAAAATATGTACCGACCCTAAGTTTGTGTGTGTGTGTTTCGTTTGCGCCCTATACCATGATAAGCAACAAAGGCTTGAATATAATATTATAACTAGACAAGGTTACCCGCCAAAAAATTTAATTCGAAAATTATACAACTTAAATTTGTTTGAGACGGGAAATCAATCATTTTGAAACGTTTTGCCAAAAGATGTAATATTAAATTGGTCAATAGACAGATGTTTGAAAATAATTAAAAATGGCGTTTTTTTTTACACATTATCTATGTTCATATTATAAAGCTGAATATATAAAGATGTTGGGCCATTTGAGGCTATAACAAAGATCGTTGTATGTTAATGTAGTGGTCTATATAAAGGTGTATTAATGATCTTTATTGACTTCGAAGATCGACCAGCAATATTCTTGTAGAAGGTAATAATAATATAATAAATAATATTCTATCACATTCACACAACGCCATCTAGTCCCAAACTAAGCAAAGCTTGTACTATAGGTACTAGACAACTGATATAAATACATATATATCATGTAAATATAGTATGAAATTTTTTTAAGAATTTTTCAATCAAAACTTTTTTCTTTCCAATTCACCAAAGTAAAAAGGAAATACCTAAACTAACGGTATTTTAAAAACTGTCTATGGGGTATTTTTGAATGGATTTATTTGTTTATTATGATTCGTAGTATATCTAACTTTAAGTTAGGTAAATGTTACTAAAAAAATGAATTACACAGTGCCACTAACCCACCACCAGGTATTTAGGTACCAAGCCCATGTAAACACAATAGTTCATTAATTGCGTTCGAATCGAGTCTTAATTGTATATCTTCAAGATCAGAACCTCATTGTGTTAGTACTTGTGTTAAACTGTACCTGACTTAAATGAACATAAATGCCTTTTATAATAGCTGAATATCTTTGTTACAGGTACCCGATGCAGTGAAAACTGACGAACATAAAATAATAAAATTAAAAAGTAAAAATGCCACGGACTATTTCCTTCTAAAATGCTAGCTGATAGTGTGCGTTAATCCTTAGTGCGCGATTGTCAGACGATAGTGTTCGATTGTAAGATTATGATTAAGTGTTAGTGAGTGGACAATATGGCGCATAAAGTAAAGAACAACCACTACGTGGCGACGCACAGGTCTGGAGTGGATTCTCCTTCATCTGGCGTCTATGGACACAGGGCTTCGTCAAGGGATGAAAATGATAGTCATCGGGCGCCATCAGAAAGGACAGTATCAGAGTATACGGTAAGTGTGGGTATTTAAATACATGTATATTCTTAATACTTATTACCTAGATTGACAACTAAGACCAAGCTCTAGTAGAATAATGAATGACTAACATTTTAGTAACACAGTTCACTAACTGACTTACCTACACTACGCTAACTATATAAAATTGATATTTCATACAAGCATATGCTTAAATTTTATATTATGACATTGTAAGTTAGATCCAATATTGGAATTCAAAAAATAAATGTATGCAAACCCACCACACATATACTTGTAGAACTGACCGTAAAAATATTAAAGAATTTTTATCAAAAAGTCTTCACTGATAGCATCAAATATGTCCTCGTCGGTACGTCACCTAACTCCAAAAAAACTGTCAGTAGGTCATACATATCAGAACAGTTAAAATGATTTCGTTAAGAGTGCGTTTTTTTGTATGCTGATAGTACATGAAATGTCAACTGATAGTCTTACAAACTTGTTTTCTGATATTATTATTAGTACTTATGTACACATTAAGGCCATTACACCTTGTAAACCATCACACATTTTCATTTTATTTTTGCTATATCTTAGTATCTAATTCTACGCGAATGTTGTCTGAACATGTGCAAAATAATCAAAATATAATTTGATGTTTCTTTTACAGCACATGTTTCAATTTATTATCATAGTGTTTTCAGCATAGTGTGTGCATCAAATAAAACGGGCTGTTTATAAAATACATATAAAACTGTAAATAAATCATTTGAAGTCTTCAACATTTAATGGATGGCAAAATAATATTTTACTATATAATGTCTGTAGATTAATAAAATCCTTTTAAATTCAGTTATACTATCTAGTCATAAAGGTAACAGTGGGTATGTTTGTTCGTATTATATAGGTATTTAATGACCCGAATTAAAATATAACGAATTTATTGAAAATTTCATGATTTCGTTTACCTAGTGTTCAGATTAAATATTTTTTATTCATTAAACTTTATGCACAAAAGTAATGCATCGGACACGTCCTTAATAAAACCGAGAGTCAGTTTACCAATTATTTAAGAATTACAAAACAGATTCCCAAGTTAGTAACCAAAAAAATATTCTTTAAGGACACATCACGTGGTCTTTTCTAAATTTGAAAATATGAAGAGACATTTTGTTGTTCAGTGTTATGTGCGTTACACAACTGATTTAAGAAAGCGTGGGTTTATTATAAAGTAAGCAATATATGTATATATATTATAGTTTCTAAATGTTGTTGGGCAAAGAATGCGTTCTTAATATATATTTGTAATTAAATTACACACGTGAACATGTTTTGACGTCAGTTTTAATTGAAAACAATTCTTTTTAATCTTCCTACGCGGTTGCATTTACCGATGAGAAATGATCTCGAAATAAATAGATACGTAGATACGTAGGTGTATTCGAGAATAACATATTTTGTCTATTAATCCGTAATTTACACATCATGCATTCGATGTCGGAATTATATTGTATTAAATTTATTTTGAAGCCATTTTATTTAATCATTACACTGAAATGGTTTCTAAGTTTAGAAGAGTCAATTTGATGATGTCACTAACCGGCTAATAGATAAATAGATAATAGAGTAATGACATTTCATTACTTACCAATTGACAGCTGTCAACTTATTCAGTTAATCACTTATTGGATCTGGTTACGTAAATTTTCACCTCATAATAGTTACTAGTTTAGTCTTTTTCAATAAATTTAAATATACTTATTTACTATGTCATTTTTTTAACAACAAAATAAAAGTGCATTAAGGTTTGAAACATTACAATAACGTAAAATTAATTTATCAAGAGTGTCAACATCTTTACTATCTACAATTAGCTGAGTTAATTGGATACATGAAATAAATAATTGGTTACGTTAGAAAACATAATTATTGTATTTAGACATTACGATACAACTATAAATAATTTTAAGTAAATTTACTTACAAAAGATGTATAAAAATATGAAATTTATTATTAACTATACATTCATTACTAGTTTATATAGTAACTGCTATTAATATTATAAATGCAAATATAAGTTTGTTAATTACGCTTTCACGTCTTAACTATAAAATTAATTAAACACAGGTTGGCAGTTTTGTAGAGTTCCTTCATCATTCATCCAAAAAAAAATACCATTCACCAAAGATTTCTTAATATTGACAAAATGTACAGTCACGCGAATGAACCCATAGGTAAACGCTAGTTTAATATAAAACTTTACGTCATTTAAAAAAAAGACGTGTGGCACTCGGGGACTGCCGCGGTAAAGCTATTGCATAGCATTTTGTATCAACTTATGCAATTATAATTATTTATTTATTTTACTTATGCACTATTTCTTTTTCTTTGATATTAATTCAAGTTACACTTTTTGAGCGTGGTGACCGATAAGAAAACATTTTTTTTTCTTTTATTAAATAAAAATATTGAAGCATATATTACAATTTGTTTTTAAATAAATAAATAAAAAATATTATTATTAAATCAAATTACATATCCATGTAAGATTTTTCTGCATTATGTTGACGAAATTTCCTTTGACGTTCAGCATTTGATTTTGGTACTGTTTTTTGTTTTGTTTTTAGCCTGAGGTTTTTTTTCGTTACGGAATTTCTGGATTCGGTCCCCGCGCTCAAGGCCCTCGATAGAAGATATGCAATAGCTTAAAAATCTTTTACTGAAAAAATATTGCGCGAGAAATACAAACACACACACAAACATTTCAGTAGTCCACACATTTTCAGCAGTGACTGCTGTTGGCGTGTGACCACTTCTTCACACCATCACCACTTGTGACACCATCTTCAAGGATAGTGTTCACCCGTTTAAATTCGTTAAACCCTCTAAATGGTTGTCCGAGAATGAGCAGACTCACCTAAAGCTGATTTAAAACGTTCTAAGCTTAAATCTTTAGATAAACCATATTTAAAGTCGCAATATATCATAGGACGCAAATGTTAATGTTTAAGCTCCATTGTAATTTGTAGCAGACGAAAAAGCGGGAAATGATGACAGTTAAATACTTCTATTTTTTTTTTTTGCTGTAAATGGCCTTTACTGTTCGATTTTTAAATAAATTTGCATTTTAATAATACATAACACAGATGCCTTCCATTTTCAAATTTTGAGCACCTCAAAACATCTCAAAATAATATAGTGACCTACATAGTGAACAGGTTGAGATCAATCTCTTTGTGTGAAAACAAAACTTATAATCAAATCGAATTGCTGTAGACACTGCTACTCAGTATAATACATCGACCAAATAATGATGTCGTGATATGAGGTTGCACGGCTTCAAACCACATTTATGTACCTAATCGATTACCTTGTTACGTAAGTAAGCAAATTTCGAAGCTATTTATTAAATTGTTAAAATAGCAACAGCGATCTACCTGATAGAAGGCGATGTACAAAGCTTTAAACATAAATCTTTAACATAATCAAACATCACAAATCGACCCGGAGATTTGCTTGTTAATACATTTTTTTAACTTTTAGCATAATTAGTTGAAAATATAATTTATTAGCGATATTTGAATTAAATAAAAAACTGTTTCCAGTATCTGCCAAAAGAGAAACACGTTCAAGCGTAAATACATAACCTATCAAGTATTTAAAGACCGAATTACGACGATAAAAGAGTCATTAAACTCAGTCAAGCAGTTTAAAGGAATGCGTACACAAACAAATTAAACCCCTGAATAGTTATGATTGCAATTTGTAACATAATGTGTGTTCCACATTTGTTTATCGACTTAAACGACCATTACTGTTGAATGAAATATACCAGGCAAAACGTGAAACTTTCCACCTAGTACATCCATTTAAACCTCCAACGCAAATGGAAGGGTATTATAGTGTAACTTGGGTATTTGTCTGTGTCATTTTAGCTCCTATACAGATGAATTTAATTTATTTTTATATTTGAAAGTAACCAGTGTGTATCTAAGAAACTTCAATTCAACAAAATCTTTTTTAGATATTCAGCTTTTTATTTTGAATATTAAATTTATACTGGTACTTAGGGCATATTGAAAGTTTCTAGATTCTGATAAATAAGACTAAATATAAGACTTACGAGACATTTATTGTTTTTCTAAGTATATCCCCTCGCAATTAATGCATTTTTGCATTCGCTGAAACCACTGTACAAAGCAGTTGGACCAGTCTTCCTTAGGGACCTCTTCAATGGCTTCATGGAATGTATTTACATTAAACGTGTACCTCTAAGTTGTCGTTGGAAACAAAAGAAGTCGCAGGGTGCGAGATCCAAGCTGTAAGGCGCACATCATCAGTTGCACATTGGATGCCTTGACGGAATGTGAGGATGCGTTATCGTGGTGTAGGAGGATACTGCTTCGAGGACGCTTTTCGCTAACTTTTTCTAAGACTCTGACGTACTAGTCTGCAGTGATCTTGCTTAGACTTTTCTTAATTTTATTTGACAAATCTTCAAAAGGAAAGACCAATTCTACCAACTGGCTTTTTATTTGGGGCTCAAAGCAGTGCACCCAGGTTTCGTCACCTGTTACGATATTATAGACAGCCAATAACCGTCCTCCGTTGGACCACCACTGGACTCAATTCTCCAAACCACGAATACACAGAGCTACGACATGGTGCTTCATCACCAAATGCCAATTGAAGCCTCTGGCAACTCTCTTGTTGACTTAAGCCACAACGGTAATCATAAAAATCATTGAACGAAAATTTTCACGAGTTAAATTCATGTTACAAAAGTACATGAAGTTTGTACCCAGAATTACAACATTCAAATCCTTTTAAGTTTCGACATGCTACATTAAATTTCAGACAGTGTATGAAAAAAGATTTCAAACAATTTGGTCCTTCGAGCCTTAAACATTTGGCTACAACCGTCGTACAAAATTACAGCACACCAATTCTTATATTCATTTAATTACTCACGATAACCTAAATTACAATTTCAGACAATGGACGAGAGGACGAGATCGCCCCCTGGGGAGCACAGAAACGGTCGGCGGCATCCTCAAACCAATGGATCACCCAGGGTAGGAGACTCTGGTTCGGAGGTATACGTCACCAGCGCAGCCTACAGACCACCTTCCGAAATCAGGTTCGTTATTATATACATCCATACTTATATTTTAAATGTGAAAGTGAGGTGGTTTGTTACGCTTTCACGCCTAAACCACTAAACTGATTTAAAAAAAATAGCTATAGCTAGTGGTGAAGTAAATGGGTATTGTACGTTACCTTACGATAATGCACGTTCGTGGCGGTGAACATTTTAAACACAGACATATAAATACAATCACACACATACACACACACATACACACACACATACACACATACACATATCCTCATTCATATCAATCAATCAATCAGTTCTAAGCAGTTCACAAAGGCCTCTTGCAACGTGTGCCATTTCCCTTGTCCTCCTTATTTCGCATCTAATCTATTTATGATTGGAATACATTAATGTTATTGATAAATTACACCAAGACACAAAAATGGTCTTGTGCGTAACAAAAAAATAATCATCAAAACACTTTAAAAACAAAAACTTCTTCATTTTTTATGCATATCCTTATTCACGGGGTTATGCCTAAAAATATTACTATATAGTACATCTTTTTGCGAGACTTGTAGAATAGAGAATTGTAGAATAGCGTTTTAAAAGCTTTCTTTACATTAATTCTTATTCATTAATTCTTTCTTTACGCCCTAATTTTAGACCACATATATGTATATAGTTGTTACTTACAGCAGCAAGATGACCTTTATTTATGATGCATTTCAATATGTCGCTTAGAGAGATTATGAGAAACTTCCAGTCAAAGAGCAAACGGTTGTACACCTAAGCATGGTTCCACTTTCATATGTCTTTTATAACAAGTTGTTAGGGCATGCAATGTCAGTGAGCTTCGAGTTGAGAGATTATGTGGGTATCCTGTTTAGAATGAAAACAAGTTCGTTACTGTTTAAATAGGTAGAAGAGAACATATCTGCTTTGGATTTTATATTTGTCTATAAATTAGTACAGGTTTTTAAAGGTTAATGTTTTAATTTGATAATAATGATATAACGGTCTCAAGAAGCTACGGAGATTCAGTATGTATGACGTTGGCCTGTCAATGTACGGAAAACCTGTAGAATTTGACAAAACATACTGTTACTATTGTGTGTGTTGATCTTGGGCTTCAAATAGTTTTGAATATTATTTTATTTATTAGTTTTGAATCTTGGGCTTCAAATAGTAGTTCAAATAGTTTTGATTTTTTATCAAATAAAGATATTCTGACTTGGACTTTGAATAAGAGTGCAAATTAGTCTTAAACATTTAAGATTTAATTTAAAACTAAAAATTTAAGATTCATAATACTTTTATTACTCATAATACTTTTTTAATTTTTTTAGAAATATGTTTGTATTTTAGTAATATAGTAATACATTTATTTGATTTGCTTCTTTAAGACATGAGTTTGGTATATTTTAGTTTATTTGAATACACCAGGGGTCCCCACCCTTTGGGGTGGGCATTAAATAAATTGCCTATATCAGCAGTAACCAGTTCTTTTCTAACAAAAACTTTTGCCTGACAACCAGTACTTGAGTATCGGCTCCATTTAGCTGTAAAGTCCGCTTATTAAAATATCTAAAAACATTTAATTACAGAAATAAACATCATTTCTTTTCTTCAATAGTCTGCCATTCAGCTGCTGAGGGAAGCACTCCACTGTCATGGGGTGCCACTATACCTGAGGTAGCTGGTGGCAGACTACTTAGAGGAGCGTACTGTCATGTACGAGGACCGAGATGGTGCTTTAGAGCGTTGACCCATGTCGTGCATTGTTCTGCAGGGGTCCGTTGGAACATAGGGTATGGCTGGCCCCTTCGAGGTCGCTTCCTCCCGGGCTGGACGTTATTTGTTACCCCGATGACACGCTGGTTATAGCCCAGGGGATGGTCTTTCACGAGGCTGTGTGCCTGGCCACCAGGGGAGTCTCTCTGGTGGTCGAACGCATGAGGCGCTGGGTTTACGTGTGGCCCTGGAAAAGACGGAGGCCCTCTTTTTCCATGTGCCCCGTCGTGTTCCACCCCCCCCCCCCCCCCCCGGCGCCTCCATCGTGGTTTATTTGGTTAAATGTGTCATTTTACTTCAGAATAAAATTTACACTAGTGCGGACTATGTTCGTACACAAAAACGTTTCGGGTATTCGAAATAGACCTCAAAACGCTTCTAAAAACCTAATTACGTCTTCAAATCAAAAACCACCATACAGAAATGTAGTGTTAACACTACCATTCTGTCCTTAATCTCATCATGAGGAAACTGTAGCAGGGTTTAATTACATCATTTCAGGGTCGTTCACCTACGGTGTTGATACCGTTCTATTGACTAAATCCCTAGTCCCACTAATTTCGTCCAACGGAGCTCGATACGTGCTGTATTATAGCCCTGCGTCCCCGAAACGGTACAAACGAGCGTTTTTGCGCTGTCTTCATGAAAAAATAGGAAAGAAAAACAATGATAAAAGACGAAAACCAAAAAAAAAGGGAGGCAGTCAAAAGGACTGCCAACAGAAGTGAAAACTCAATACAATGGAACTACGCATCGTTAATCTGTCGCAATACATAAGAATTCAAAGGTTTTCACCCTACCATAAAATGCTCAACGCAGCTAAAGAAGTTTTCACTCCAAAATCTGTATTCTTCATTCCTAAAATTACATAAACTACACACTCAATGATAAATAGAGGGTTATGGCGATTCGGACCGCAATTAACCAGGACCCCCGGTACTAGTTAATTTCGGTCCGAATCCCAGTTGTTGGATCATTTAATTTGAATATTTTTCTGCCGGCGACTGGGACCACCGCCATAAATGAAAACAAATTCTTTGGTCCAAGCCAAAAATACTACAGTCAAACAAAAATGTTTAAAGGTAATAATTAAAAAAAAACTTTGATTAAAAATATAATTTATTTATTAAATATAATATAAACAACAGACTTTGATAAACGTTATTATTATTTTTACTCGGTGAAAAGCAAAAAAACTTGACAGCAGTTTTCTGTGAAACCACTTCCGAAGTGGTACCACGGTTTGGTTTGAATCCAGGAGATGCACATTTTTTGAATCGATATTTTTTTTCCGACTTAGTGGATAGTGATAGATAATGGATTCACATTATAGCTCAAATTACACTGCCATTAGCCAGCAGCTAAAATTAGGAATTATTAGACAACAATTTTAAAACCAAAAAAAAGGTAATTAATTTTAGTATATATTTTTTTGACGAATGGCAGTACTAAATGTAAGATAAATCAATAGTAGGCAACGCTTTTCGCCTGAATATGACGTAGTCAATCAATTTCTCTTTATATTTGTAGAAATCTCACAATCCTTCATAGCCTAATCAAAGTAAACATAATCGTCATCCATAGTCACGTGCGTCAGAGATAACTGTCAAAGTTGTCATTTTATTTTTTATTGGGCATCGGTAGCAAAAGTTTTGTTCTTATTGGTTCTAAAAATATGACAAAGTAAAAACAATGTTTTCTCAAAATTGCAGTAATTTAAAATTATAAATTATAATATTAGTTCTTAATAAGTCTGTCCAAAAATATTTGATTTTTTTAAGAATACAAAACCATTTATAGACATCTCCTTTATATTAACAATTTTAAACAACAATAACTTACACCTTAATTATAAAGACAATTATAATCATGAAATCTTCAGGAGTAGAGTGAATAGGTTCATTTAAATAGACGTGTAGAATTTTCATCTCGTATTTACATAGATCTTCTTTCAAAAATACAGTAAAAATAAAGGTTCCTATAAAAATCACGCTGATATATTACCATTATAAACCATTTCCAATGGATCTCTTTGATCATAGATACGAAAATTTAAACTGTTAAAAATACACGTTTTTGAACGACTACTTTGAAATCAGTGCAGCTGTAAACAACATTATTTACATGTAACCGTTAAATTGATAATATAATATGGAGTTTCGTGTAGGTATAATATAAATATTTATTTTATAAAAGTGTTACTTAAAAATATTTGGGCGGATTCTTTATTTAAAATAAATTGCAACTCTCGAATAAAGTAGTTAAAATACGCACTTGATTTTGTATTATTCTTATTTCAAAACATACAACTACCTACACAAAACCTTTTTATTTCAATTGTAACTAGTGATTGCATGCGGACAAAGCTAAAGGAACATTCTTCAGCTTTGTCCGCGTTGTGATTCCACAGCTAATATAAAAGACTATGCTTGCAAACGATAGGTATTACCGTAGGAGAGCTATGCTCGACCGATACCGACATATAATGGGCTATGCTCGACCGGAGTGATACTGAAAACTGGTGTTAAACAATTCTTTCACTTTTCACCGAGTGAGTTACGATACCGTAACCCGCCTCCCCATTTTTTTTCTATGCGGAAATCCGGAAATCCACCGGTTGGGTGATTATGTCGGACTCGAACCGACCAAAAACCGCAAGACGTCTCTTGTACCAACTGCCGGGGAACCAGATGTACCCTAGAAAGGAAATCCCTGGTACCCCAGGCAACCCAATTATGACTCTTGAGTTGCAGGTATCCATAGACAGCAGTAGTCACTTATCATCAGGTGACCCGTCTGTTGTTTGCCCCCTATACCATAAAAAAGTGGTGATTTTAATCATCTGTACTCGCCTTCTATAATATATACCATAGATGTTCGACTTTGATTGATAAACTGTGCTAACATAAGTTAGATACACACATGTGCTATTAAAAGCTTTACGCCTGCGCTAACGATATGAAGTTTTACAAAAAACTTGTATAATGACATTATTATTTCAAAGTTCAATAATATTATTATTGTTACATCCGTGTGGTGACGCATTAAGAATACAGAGCGTCACCACCCCTATTCATCCCGTGGGTGTCGTAAGAGCCGACTAAGGGAGCAAACTACGCAGGACAACAGCACTACAAAAAAAACTTGCAACAACCCAACCCTTCTTGCCAGCGTGGTATATTAGACTAAAACCTCTAAGTCCAGCAGTGAACTATAAAAGGCTGTTGATGCTGGTGATGAAACGATTA